TGTTACTGACAATTACCATCAAAGTTTTTACACAAAGTTATTCAGTGGCATAAGTGGGAGCAAGAACGAGGATGAGGAGGAAAGAAAAAAAAAACTCACTTTTTCTCGATAAGGCGCAACAACAAAGTCATTCATGTGGAAGAAAATAGATGAGTCAGCGAGCACTGAATTTAGCTGAAGGAATGGAAATTTGACCGGCACAGTGTAACAGTGATGTAAACATCAGTCGAGGGGATCTAAAGTTCTTGCGAAGGATTTTAAAACTTCGCCAAAATGGCAAAATTAAGCCGAGACACAAAAGTCACCTCTTAATTTGCATTAAAAAACAAATGAATTGTTCCACAGACGTAAATTTGCTGTGTTTAAAAAAGTGAGGCAAAAGCTACGGAGAGTCGCAAATAGTGGCGTGTGTGCTGCCTTTTAGGAACCCACACCTACATGTTACACACATGATTTTATCCAGATGCTTTTTTTAAATAAATTATGTAAAGACGCACAAAAACCCATTCGGACAGCTCAGAAAATCAGACTGAAACGCACCAGGCGACCCGGTGCGATCATGCGTTTTTGCACCAAACTTGAACTAATTAGGTTAACTGCATGAACGGTTGTTCCTTCACACCTACGTTGGCACTCAATACCGTAGGTCATCGTAAATTTTGCATAAACGGAAATAAACAATTCCCATTTAGCGGCCGTTTTTTGAAAATGACCCAGATGTTCAATGAGTAATTTTTCCGCCAAAAACTTAAATGCCCGTACGCGAGAATCATGCGTACATGGAGGCTGAATTTGAAATCTTTAAGTTGTTTTTGGACGGGGAGTATTCTCCTAAAATCTCAGCTTTCCAGCTCTTCTGGGTCCCGAGTAAGCAATTTTCCTGCTAAAACTTTCACAGGGCCGAACGTGACCTGGGAGCATACCTGGGGGCCGGGTTTGGAATTTTTAAGTTGGGAACATCACTTGAAAATTTCAGCCTTCCAGCTTTCCTGGTTCCCAAGTTAGCCATTTTCGGGCCAAAAGAGTGTCACAGAGCCGCACGTGTGAACCGCGCATGACTGAGGGCTGAATTTGATAGATTTATGTTGTATTTATGCTGGGAACACTTGCTGAAAATTTCAGCCTCCAGCTTACCTGGTTCTCAAGCTAGCGATTTTTGCGCCAGGAACCCTCATGGTTGTACGCGGGAATCATGCACACCTGGGGACTAATTTTGAAGTCTGAGTTATATGTGGATGGGGAACATAATTTCAAAATTTCAACTTTCTATCTTTTCTCGTTCCTGAGTTGTCAGTTTTCTCGCCAAAACTTCCACCCTCTCGTACGCGGGGTCCAGACGTGCGTGACGGTTGGTACCGCGGTTCTGGGGTGACACTTGGCCGGGAAAGCAATTGGCAGAATTTTGGCGCCGGAGCTTGCTTGGTTGCCAAGTTGAAATACCCGGACAGGCGAACACACATACACACACAGACATATACACACATACATACATACACACAGACAGGGTCGA